TTTTAAGATTTAATGTTAATTTATTTATAACAAAGATGAGAAGAAAATAATTATATAGAATAAATAAATATAGATTGCATTTTCAAAATATATTATTTAAATGTATTTTAGAAAAACACAGAATAAATATTGCATTTTCACAATGTATTTTTTAAGAGTAATGCTACAAGTACATAATACGGTGGGCATATGTCAACCGCTTATGTGACATGCACACATTGGTGATGTTAATATGTTCAAAAAAGTACATCACCAATGTCTGCATGCCACATAAGCGGTGGACATATTAACATGTGCCCACCGTGAGTTCAAGGGCTCTTTGCTCGGGATGACTCTCCTCCTCCTTTTTGATCCGTTGGTAGATGAGCATTACTGATATTGTACATAGGGGTGTACACGACACTTACATTGAGTGGGACCCACCAAAAATAAAAAATTAAGTAGACCCAATTCCATGTGAGTATTATGTACACATTTATCTACATTTATTATGTACTTGTACCATTTTTCCAATTTTTAAATATATTTTTATTTAAAAAAAAAAGGAATAAATATTGCATTTTCACACGCGCTACGTTGTTCATCTTTATCATCATCATCATACCTTTATATCCAAAATCACAGAGAAAACGAAATTGGGCAAAATTAAATCGAAACCCTAGAACAGGAAGAAGATGGTGTTCTACTTCAAGGCCAGGCCAGAGGCTGGAGACTACACCATTTTCATGGGCATAGACAAGTATGAGAACGAGGAGCTCATCCAGTACGGCTTACCGGAAGATATTTGGTACTTTCTCTTTTCTTTTTCCGGTTTTTTACCGATCAATTTCAATGGGACTGTGTTATATTTCAACTGGGTTTTGTATTCCGGTTGATCTTTATCTAATTAGCAAATGCTTGATTTTCATGGAGGTGAAATTTTTTATCTTCTGTTTGCTGTGTTGTGATTTTCTGGGGGGAAAAAGATATAAAGAAATTTGGTTGGGTAACACTAATTTTAATGACTTTGGAGTAGAAGTTGATGTGGGTTTTCTTATTGTGGTTGCTTTTAGGAATTTATATACTTGCTCTATACAGGATTTGAAGTTGTGAACTTTCGAGCTAATGCTCTAAACTTGTATTTTTTTCGACAAAACTTATAATAAGTAATATAAATTTGATGCATCCGATGAAGTTCAAGTTCGGATCTTGCATTGTCTTGGACTGGAAGTGAATAAGGTATTTTAAACTGTAATGACTTGTAGAATTCTTAATATTGTGATGTAATATTAGGTTTCTGCATGTGGAGCATGTTTTATGCTTTACCTGTTATTTCTTTAAGCCGAGTATCACAGACAAATTAAGTGCCGTGATTCTCTTATGTGAGCATAGCCGTGTGATTCTCTTATGTGAGCATAGCAGTATTCTGTAATGGTAGCCATTTAAATTTAATTTAGATTCTTGAAAATGCACTTTCTAACAGACGTGATATTATAGGTTTCATGTGGATAAAATGTCTTCTGCCCATGTTTATCTGAGACTCCACAAGGGTCAAACCATTGATGATATACCTGAAGGTGTATTGGAAGACTGTGCCCAACTAGTCAAAGCAAACTCGATCCAGGGAAAGTATATTTCTTAAAAGAATGTAGCATTAAACGTGTGAATCACTTCACCAAACAAGCATATCCGATCTTTTTATTATCTTTTTATTCTTTTCATGATTGCTAAATTTCTTGGTTCATTTCTTTTCTCTTCTTTTCTCGTTATTTGTAATTTTGATTTATTTTATTTTAAATCTTGACAGGAAACAAAGCGAACAATGTGGATGTCGTTTACACTCCCTGGCAAAATCTGAAGAAAACTCCATCTATGGATGTTGGGCAAGTTGGTTTCCACACCTCAAAAACAGTGAGTTTTCTTTCATGCATTCTTTGAGCTGCTTTGAAGAATCTTTTGCATCGAGCGTATTAATCAAAGTTCGTTTATCTCTTTTTCTTTTGCTTTAGGTTCGGACAGTGAGAGTGGAAAAGCGGATAAATGATATAGTTAACCGGTTAAACAAGACAAAGGTCGAGAGACATCCGGATTTCAAAGGTGCGTATAGAAATTTCCTGTGTATTTAGTCGAGACGTCCATTTTTTTAAATATTGAGCTTTCCACTATGTCATCAAGCATTATAATTTGACTCTGTTTTTTTTCCCTTGTTTTTCTTTTTTTTCTTTCTTTATTTGTTTAGCTGAAAGGGAGGCAGTTAATGCGGCTGAGAAGGCCGAAAGGAAGCAGCAGACGAGGGACAAAGTAAGCCTTGCAATCTCATTTAATAAAAGCCTGAACTTTTTTGTAGAACACTAGTGATAAAAATTGGCTGTAAATATTTTCTGTCGATATTATTTGTGAGAAAATGTTTTGTAGAAACGTCGTGAAGAGTTGGAGAGGCTCGAAAAAGAGAAGCAAGCCGAGTTAAGGAGCTACAAAAATTTAATGGTGGCAGATAAGATGACCTCCAACAAGGACATAGCCTCCACCAACAAATCTCTACAGGAACTTGAAGAAGACTTCATGTGAAAACCCAAAATAATAATTTCAGGCTTTCAGCAATTTGTGAAGAAAATGATAGTCATGAAGTCCAGAATGTGATTTTTGCTGTGTGATTCCTATTTGATGAGATTTCACATTACAGTGTCTTGTTAGCTTTCTTAGTACAGCAAATATCATTTACATCACTAAGTGCGTGTTTGTATACAAATATATCCGCTCAAAACAAGTTTTTTTGTTAACCAGGATTAATTTTAAAAAAGGTGGTATAGTTTGTTGTCAGTGAAATTTTAATTTTTTATTAATTTAATATTTAAAATTAAATAACTAAAGTTGATTTGATATAAAAGTACGAGAGATATAATATGAAGTGGTTAGTTAAAATTATATGAGAAGATAAAAAGTGAATTAAAAATGATGTGATTTGTATAAATAATTGGTTGATATTATTAAATTATATTGATAATATTGAGGATAATGAAATTTCGTTAATCTAGATTTTGAGTATGAATTCAGTGTGGATTGAGTTTATTTATATACAAACACACCCTAAGAAGCTCATTTAAACTCGGTTCATACTTTTACATTGTGAAACTGAATGAAACCTCAAATGCGCCTGAACATTACTCAGATTCGATTCATGTTGGACCTTCTGTCATAAATATCAATTACAACTGTAAGTCCAAGACAAAAATAAAAAATAAAAATAAAAATAAAAATAAAAATAAAAATAAAAAATAAGAACATCTACAGACTGAATCAAAACTTTGACAAGGAAATATAGTAGCGTAAGTTGCTATATAAAAGACAACAAATTCGTAAACAGAGTGCAAAGGCCACATAATCGAATATGAAACTGAAAATAGCAAGATCTCCACAAAGATCCTCAATGGCATCAAATGATTATCCTTGGTAGCATCTAAAAATCATGGGGGCCAAACAAAGATTTCCGTTGATCAACAAGTCTACGAATAACTCAACCTCAACTCAAGCACTTGATTGATATCCATTGATTACACACAACGCATAAAGAAAAAAAAAAAAGCGGATTGCACAAATTCATTCAATCACGTACATCCACTCGAACCAAAATCCTTGCAAGACTGGTGGAGTGCAAATGTTAGCCCAAGCCAAAGCAGAACCAAAAAAAAA